TCTTCAAAAAAATGAAGAATGATTCATTGAGAGGATCAAAAGGGATTTATTTTGGAACAAAACCCAGTTGTTGATCCGAAATAAATATTTTTGAAGAAAATTTGAATTTGGGAGGTTTTTTGGGTTTTTGCTTCGAAATATAGGGTGAAAATGATGAAACACGTACAAATAGCCTTAAACAATCTTTCTCCGCAAATTTGGCCTAAAAGAATTGATCCTTTTTACAAAGTGATTGATCCTTTTTCTGGAAAATGCAAGGGATCGATCTTTTTCACAAAGGGAACAATTTTTTTCTCTAGAAAAATGCATTTTTACTCCAATGACCAAATTGGATGATATTAGACTTGAATTTTGATGCAACCTAAGTCATATTATTGAGAGAAAAATTAAATTTAATGACTTAAAGGATTCTAAATGTGCATGAATGTCAACTTGAAACATCAAATTATAAATTTTTTTATTATTGATCAATCTAGTCTATAATTTGCACAACTAAAGTTCAAATCAAGTCACACAAACATACAATGGCTCTAAAGATCCTAAACATGCATAATTTCAATTTTGCTACATTTAAACATCATATTCTCAAAATTAACATAAATGATGAATACAAAGCAAGGAGAACATGATTTCACAACAACAAACAAAAATTGCACATTTAAGGCTAAAATTATCATCATAAGAAATAAGACCATAAAATTGAAACTCGTACAATAATAACTCCCCCAAACTAATTGCAATTAAACACTATTTGGTGACACTTAATCATGCATATAAACATATAAAATCATATGAAGAAAAAAATTGTATGAAATTGAAACTTGTTACCACTTGAATTAAGGTTGATTTCTTAGGTCTCCCTTTCGTGATATTCCTTAGTCTGTTTTAGAGCTTCCAAATTCATTTTTATTGCTCACCATTGCTCCAAAAAACCTACAAGAGACATATACTTGATTTTTGGTACCGAAATTGCTTTGGGTCCTTGATTGTTAGTTTCATTGCCTCTAGTTCCCTTAGAAACGCATACTTGTCTTATTTTATAAAATTTTCTTTTCTTTATAGGACAATTATTATAATTATGACCATGATAATGACAATGCGAACAGTTTGTCATTATTGACTTTGATGAATTGTTAGAAATAATTTCTTTTTCTCTTCTTAAAATTTCAAGCTTGTTTTTCAAATCAAGATTTTCTTTTTCAAATTACTCAATTATAATTTTTGAAAAATCTAACTACTTTTTAAGATTTCATTTTGATTTTCAAAATCCAATTTTGCCTTTAAAATAAAATCATTTCAATTTTAAACTTAGAAATTATTTTCCTATATTTGGAATTCATGGTCTAAAATTCCAAAATCATATCATCATAAACATCTTGTAACTCATCAAAAAAATATAAATTTAATTCATTTGAGTTAGAAGATACATTTGAATCTTCTTGGATGACCATGATGCAAAGGTTGACTAATTCATCATCCTCATCATCGGTGGAGTCTTCATCACTCCATGTATCCACAATAGCCTTCTTCTTTGGCTTGCTTGATCCCTTCTTCCTCAATAATGGACAATCATACTTGACATGCCCCATTTTTTTACAATTATAACATATGATGAGATCCTTCTACTTTTTTTGATTTATGCTTCCTTTCTTTATATTTGGATGACATGAATTGCTTGAATCTTTTGAAGAGTTTGACCATCTCTTCATCTTCTTTTTCATCCTCTTAATCGAAGTTACATTCTTCATGTGTAAAGGATCTTAAAGCAACACCAACTTGCTTTTTATTTTATTTCTTATCTTCTTCTTGTTCCTCCTCTTTTACCATCAACTCATGAATGAGCAAGGAACCAATAAGCTCATCAAGAGAGAGACTTTAGATTCTTTGCTTCAATGATCATCTTCTTCTTAGATTGCCAAAACTTTGGAAGAGCGTAAATCATCTTTCTTAGAAGTTTTTCATTAGGGATAATCTTTATATCCCTTGAGGCCATTGACAATTACCAAAAATCTATTTGTCATAGCTTTAATGTCTTCATCTGGTTTCATCTTGAAATTCTTATAGCTATGGTTGAGAATACTGATTTTCATTTCTCTCACTTCATCGGTCTTTCATGAGTAACTTAGAGCTTGTTCCAAATATCCTTGGCATTTGAACAAGATGAGACATTTTCATATTCATCTAGGCTTAATGAACTAAACAAAATGTGCATGGCCTTAGTATTAAGTCGAAACTTTTTATTCTCTTCTTCTACTTCACTCCACCATTTCTCTAGTTGGAGTAAAATGTCCGTTCATCATGATGTTGCATGCTCCCAAATCATTTTCTTGAATAAAAACATCATCTTATTCTTCTAATAATCATAATTAGCTCCATTGAAATATGGTAGCTTATTGATCGGTTGTGAATCTTAAATGTAGTAGGAGCCAAATATTAAAGCCTTCTTTCTCGGTTTATAGAGGAAGTTGATAAAGCTCTCCTAGGACCTTCTCAAGCTTGTTAAACCATCCATAGAGACCTACTGTGATACCAATTGTCAACTATCGATCAATCAAATAACGCCAAGAGAGGGTGAATTGACCTTTTTAAGAATTTTAGTGAAATCAATATAAAAAATAAAATTTTTGTACAACGATTTCGAGTGGTTTGACTTTCTCAATCAAAGTCTACATCCACACTAAGGATTTCTTAAATCCACTAGATTTGCTTACCTTTGAGGATAAGATGTAACCTTAAAATAACCCACAAGTTGTATACTCCAAAACCTTGTTTACACACTTTCCACAAAAGGAATTACAAATAAAGCAAACAAAGAGATAACCCCACAAGGAAAATGTGTTTGCACTAATTAAGATCTCACCCAAATTATACTTGAGTAAAATAAACAATAAAGCTCACAAGTGTGTTTACAACAAAGAATTTAACAAATTCAGGACAAAGGAATACTTTGAAGTTGGTAGGTTGATTCAATATATTTCTTGTTGACCTTGTGAAGCTTTGACCTTCAATTTATACATTCTCCATTAATTCTAGCCATTTGGAGTCGTTAGAGATCATTTTTAGTTGTTACCTACAACCAAAAACAACATTTATTGCACAAGGGATCGATATTTTTTCAAATAATTCGACTGTTGCAAAAAAGTGATCGATCATTTAAAGGGAAGAGATTAATCTTTTTCGTAAAGGGATCGATCCCAAACCTCCTAGAATCCAAGGGATCAATCATTTTTCAAGGGGATCGATCCTTTGGTGAAAAGGATCGAGCCTTTGAGCTAGAAAGGCTTGAAAACTCGAATTTAAAACGCGAAAACGTTTGAGTAAGTTTTTGAAAAGGTTCGACTAAGTTGGAAAATATTTAAAATATATTTTTCAAGCTAATTTGGAATTTGAATTATTTTTTATAAAGTTTTGATAAATTCTATTAAGTCCAAAATCAATTTTGTAATTTATTGTTATATCAAAATCTTAATTCAACAAAAAATTCTACAACGCTCGACAAGCACCGATGAGTACCACTAACGATGAGCACCACTGAGCACCATTAATTTATTTTATAAAAATTTAAAATTCTAAAGGACTCAATGTATAATTATAAATTATTTAAAATTTAAAGGTAAATTATTTAAAATAAAATATTAATTAAATTATTTTTCATAAATTTTAAACAATTTTTAAATGATTTTTAAAGGTAAATTATATTTTTTATTGTTAAAAAATTATTATGAAAAGTAATGTAATCGATATTTTATTTTAAATAATTTACTTTTAATTTTTTAACTAATTTATAATTTATATTTTAAGTCCTTTAGAATTTTAAATTTTTATAAATTAAATTAATAGTGCTCAACGATACTTATCATTAGTGGTGCTCAACGATACTTATCATTAGTGGTGCTCAGCGATGCTCGTCGAGCTTGACAGACCCATCCATATATTTAACTATTATTTTTTCAAAATGATATTTAGATTTATGGGTTATTTCTATTTTGACCATCTGTCGTTAAAAAATTAATGATAATGCTAACGTGACACTTTTTTTAAAAAAATTGTTAATACTGATGTGACTTTATTTTATAGTGACACATCAACACCATCATTAATTTTTTAACGACAAGTGATAAAAAAAAGAAACAAAATGTAACATTAAATATAATTTTAGAAAAAAAAATAGTTGAGTAGCCAAAATAAAACTTGAGTCATGGATGGGTGACCAAATAAGTAATTTAAGCTATTATTATTATTTTATTAATATAGAGTAAATACAAGATAATATTTGTTCAAATAACAATCTCAACCATTTAACATTGGAGACTCACACCCCTGATATACCTCATACTCGAACTCGGGACTTCAAGGAATAACAATAATTCCTTTACCACTGGAGTCGCTCGGTTTTTGCATGCTATTATTTTAGATGCATATGTTGAGGTAATATTTTTGTTCCGTTTTGATAATTAAACTTTATTTTTTCAAGATCATACATAATATTTAGTTTATGTTTTATTTTAATACTCTATTGTTAAAAACTTAACGATGATGTTGATGTGTCAATATAAGATAGTGCCAAGTCTTCATTAAAAAATGAAAAATATTACGTGAGAAATTATGTTAATTTTTAGACGATGATATACCAAATTAAAATTTAAATTAAACATTAGATATGATGTGTCACCATAAGATAGTGCTAAGTCTTTATTAAAAAATTAAAAATATTACATAGAAATTATGTTAATTTTTAAACGATAATATACCAAATTAAAATTTAAATTAAACGTTAGATATGATTAAATAAAAATTAGATACAAAACAAAAGTAATAATTTATATACTAAACTTATGATTTATCCAAAAATAAATTGTTTCCGGTGTAGTAGGCTGAAATGGGCCCCACATTTTGTAGGTATCTGGATGGAACACAAAACAAAACAAAACGTGAGTTTATTTTCCATTTGATTTCTTGTCCTCGTTTTGTACAGTGATGAACGGCCGCTAATAGTGATACGTGGAAAGGTAAAAGCAAGAAAAATCTCCCAAAACCAAACAGATTCAAACCTTTCTTCAATGGCTTCTTCTACCTTGATTACTCCCTCTTATTTTGCTTCCACGACACTTCTCCCCTTCGCCTGCAACCTCAGCTCTTCAAGGATCTCATTCCCTTCGAAAAACGCCTCCTATAGCCTCCCTAAACCTCTCGAGGCATTCTCTTCTCCTGAATCCAAAGGTATTCTCTTTCTCCTTGCTCCACTTCTTCACCACTCTTTCAAATGTTGGCTTTTCATTCCATCTGCTCCTTTAATTTATTATTTATGTGCTTTACATGTTATTCATATTTGATCTTAGATATATTGACTAGATTCTAAGTCTAGGATTGAAACATCGATAAAGGATTGATTTACAACTGTGAGCATGGTTTATCGCTTTCCTCAAATGTTTGGTGTTTCTGATTGGAAATAAGCTGATATTTAAAGATCGTACTTTATATGAAATTATATTTTCGTAGAGGAATTTATGACAGGGAACTGTTACTTCTTTTACAAAATGTAATTAACCAGTAAAAGGTTCATTCACTGAGCAGCTCCATGAACAACACTTTAACAAAACCAAAAACAAAAAGAGTAAAATATCCCCATAGTACGAGGGAATTTTTGCATTAGTTTCATGGTTACAAGAGTTTGGCTTAGTGAATTGGATATGGAGTTAAATTAAAAAGGTTATCTCCTAATCTTTCTCTGAAAGATAAGTAGTTTTCCATTCCTTTCAGAACATACCATTTTATTTTTGTTCCCTATTACCACCATCGACCATAACATTAATACCTTAATAGCAAAGGATCTATGTCGTTATTCTTATTCAATATTCATGATATCTAATTCTTGAAACTTATAAATATGCTCCAATGGATTTTACATATTTTCTTTTCTTACTTTTACTATTTATTGAAACTTATTGATGCACTATATACTTCAGAGTTTGCTCCAATCTTCCTACTTTTCATCTCCTAGTCGTAGCATTTCTTGTAAAACTTGTTTGCCATGCTTTTCTCCTTCTTTCCAAATAAGCCTGGAATGGTGAACCGTCTGGCATGGGATGGGATATTTGATATCCAAGGATGATTTACATTTTTTCGGCGCCAGTGATATAGGGTGGGTGTATAGATATTTATATATATTTGTCTCTTTGTACTGGTAGAATAGATCACAGGAAAATCTTCTCATGCTGTAAAGGTAAATTATTTGTGTGTATTTGTAAGTTTTCAAAGGTGATTCCCCTTTCTAAAATGGATATGATCTATCATTGAAAAGTTTGTTGTAGCAATGTCTGGCAGCATCCTGCTATGCACCAGTTAATCTATAACTACGGTTTAAGTTTGAAATAATGGACCACAAAGAAGTTAGTATTCTGGAAAAGTAAGATGCCCAGTTCTCCTTGTAAACTTGTAATTGCATATGTTAAGGGTGATCAATGTTTTGTGACTATGTCATTTATCATAGTGGTCGAATCCGTTGAGATATTACCAGCAGCCTGGAATAGAGCTTTTGTATTTGGGATATCAATTTATTTTCTAAAATTTAGGAGCTGAAAGAAAACGAATAACAGAACCGAACAAGGTATCTCGCTGCATCCCAAAGGCAATGATCTCATGATGCTTCAGTATTAAACTATCATGAATTCCAAGCATGCATTTCTATGTTGAGTAGTTTCTTCTAGTTTCTGCCTCTTGCGTTTTGCTGCAATCTTACCGATGATTGTACACAACATTTGAAGGCTACATTGACCTTGTTCCATTGATTGGTTTATCCATAGCTGCAGTTGTTACTAAAGACACATGGGAGAAATCAATATTGAACAGCGATTCCCCAGTTCTCGTCGAATTTTATGCAAGCTGGTGTGGCCCCTGTAGAATGGTTCACCGGATTATCGATGAGATTGTAGGGGAGTATGCCAAGAGACTCAACTGCTTTATTCTCAATACGGACAATGACTTTCAAATTGCAGAGGATTATGAAATTAAGGCTGTACCGGTCGTGTTGCTGTTCAAAAACGGAGAGAAGCGAGAGTCCATTGTCGGTACCATGCCAAAGGACTTCTATATAGCTGCTATAGAGAGGGTTCTGAAGTCTTAAAACAATGATAATACTGCATAACTGGAATCTCCGGTAAAGGTTTCAGGTTTTCTTGCATATATATTTTGTTAACCGGATCATGAATGCATAAACTGTGCATCATTTAGTTGTATCTTGCTGGTTTCTATTAACACCATAGCCTGGAAATGTTTGGTTTGATCCTTCTTGGTTCATGGTTTTCCATTTTTCAACTAAAATTGGTACCTTAAAACTTTAAACTGTTCTCTCTATACAACAGGAACAAAATATTATTAAATGGGACAGTTTACCTTTAAAAATAAATAAAAAAATGTGACAATTTTATCGTATGGATTATCATTAGATATAATGAGAGGGGGATCCAGGAATTCAATTTTGGTAGTTCATTGATTGATAGTGGTCCGTTTGTTTCAAAACAGATTTTAGAAATGATTTATTGTAAAATAAATTATATTTTCTGGAAATCATCGGATATTTTATTTAAATTTTTTTTTAACATATTTTACATAAGAGAGAAGATGAATTTTATTTTTAATGAATATTAAATCTATAATTTAGGGGAGAAAAGAGGTGTTAACGAGGAATTTTCAATCACTAGCTTTAAAGATTATTGACAAATATTTTTTTAATTAAAAAATAATTAAAAAGAATGAACATATGATTAAAAAATATGTATTTAAATTGATTGATCCATACAATCATTTGTATATATTTGTAATATTTATCTTACTTAGAATTGTTAAAAAGAAAATAACTGTTATTTATTCTTTAAAAATATTTGAGTCAATTATACCTATAAAACGAATTGATCATTAGATAATTTTAGGCAAAATTTTTAGGATAATGATATGGAAAAATTACTTGAATAATGGTCAATCAGAATTATTTGTTAGAATAATGCATTTGTACAGTAACACCAGGAGTCACACTTTGATCAAAGCATTAAATTAGGTGTCGCATGGGAATCCATGCGTCTTGCATGGAAAAAATAGTGTCGCATGGACCACCATGCGTCTCCTTTCCTCCTCGGACCACTGTGCGTCTCCTTTCCTCCTCGGACCACTGTGCGTCTCTTCCCTTGGTCATGCAGAGCACCGTGCGTCTCCCCCTAGCATGCATGGGCCATGCATAGCTATATTACGTAACCTGCTCATTAGATACAGTTATAACGAGCCATGCTTTGTATAATCCATACCCTGACACTACAAGTTGCTAAAAAAGTTATCTATATTAAGTAGCCTGCTCATTAGATACAACTATATTGAACCATGTCCTATATAATCCATACACTGACACTACAAGTTGCTAAAAAAAACTATGCGTCTCTCCCTAGCATGTATGGGCCATGCATAGCTATATTACGTAGCATGCTCATTAGATATAGTTATAACGAACCATGCCTTGTATAATCCATACCTTGTATATAATCCATACCCTGACACTACAAGTTGCTGAAAAAATTATTTATATTGTGTAGCTTGCTTATTAGAAACAACTATATCAAATCATGCCCTGTATAATCCAAACACTGACACTACAAGTTGCTGAAAAAAATATTTTTCCAGCTATATATGTATATATATATATGTGTGAATGAATCCAAGAACGACCATTAAGAAGAAAGCAACAATTAGTTAAGTGTGAAAGATTTAAGCGCTCATTTGGTGTTTTTTTCGGTCAGATCATTTGGTGAGTTAATATTATTGAAGTACGTGTGAATAGATTTTGTTTGAAGTATTTTATGATTTATTGTTATGTTAATATTATTTTATAATATTTGTAGTTTTATTTTACCTTTACATATTTATTTTTGTTATTATGATTATAATATTTTTATATTATAAATAACATTTTACAATTTATGATCATAGTATAACTATCTATTTATGTACCTGTATTTTTTTATTCTAAATACAAAATTTTAATTTGTAGAGAAAATGAGCAATAATTTTTTCACGATTGTCCATTATAATGGACATATTATGGAAAATGAGGTCGGAGTCGTTTTTCAATATAAAAGACCTATAAATATGATGTTCAAAAGGGATATCATATTTGTAGAAATGAAGCAGGGGATAGAAAGAAAAATTTGAGCTAATTTTGATGGTTTGAAATACAAGTTTATGGTATTTATCAATCTAGTTAGATATGTTGTAGTACTGGTTAAAGAAGATGATGTTATTAGAATCATGATTGGATTACATGAGTTAACAAATGTTGCAGTTATTGAGTTATTTGTTGAGGTGCGTAACATATCTGATGTTCCTAGGTCATCAAGAAATGTAGGAACATCAGATATGTGTCTGGAAATTCATCTCAAATGACTTTTGGAAGTGAGCTTGAGGACCTGACATAAAGGTTGATAAATAGTTTTATGGCGCTATTGGAAAGTGAAAATGAAGTCGGTGGGACACCCGTGACAGCATAGTATAGGGCTAGAAGAATACATCATTCAGAATTGACTATTGACGTTGATGCTGAAAATCGATGAGAAGAAATACATGATGATTCCAGTGAAGATGAAGAACATGATGAACCCGTTTTGGCCGACGATGATAATGTCTACGGTGGTGGTGCACTTGATTTCGGAATAAATGAAGTTCTAACACCTTATCAACCTACTAGTTACATGTACGAGATAAATTATGATGTGATGAGGGCACCTGAATTCCCAGACATGCCACATTTAACTCCATATCACATGGTTGAATCATTCAAAATTCAGTTGAATTTTCAGTTGGGGTGTAATTTAAGGGGAAAATGAAGTTATGTTGGCGATTAAAAAGTATTCCATCAAAGGCCATGTTGATGTCCATGTTGCAAAGTCCAACCAAAAAACCATATATGTGAATTGTGTTAAATAACATCAAAAGTGCAAGTGGAAGATTAGAGTATCAAAAATTCAGATGAACGATGTTTGAGTCGTCACAAGGTACAATGGTCCTCATACATATTTGTGAAACTCCATCGAACAAGACCACCGACTATTGGACTCTGATGTAATATACGAATATGTGAAAGTGTTGGTTGAAAAAAATCCAAGGATCCCTTGTTCAGTGTTAGTTGCATCTATTCGAAGCCAGGATACCAAGTAAAATACAACAAGGTTTGGAATTCGAAGTTGAAGATAATGTAGCTGACGTATGGAGATTGGGATATATCGTACAATGAGGTACCATATTTGTAACACTCTAACCCGATACGACACACAGTTGACCGATTAGAACGTCGCATGAAACCACCAGAGCGACAACCCAAAAAATCTTTTAAAACACCCATAGTGCAATAATTAACAACCATTTAGAACCATGAAATCATATGAAATAATATAATTTTACAATATTGGGGAGCTCCCAAAATAAATATATCAAAAGTACAATCGAGTATTTAAAATCAGTTACGACTGTACAAGAAGGTCTATGAATTATACATGCTATCTAATAATATAGACTCAAGACGTACTATAACTGCTTGATTGTCTGGAATATCTGCAAAGATATCGACTCCTCGAATCCTCCATTTATAGACACACGAACAGAAACACAATTCTGAACACTGAGCTCACTATCCCAGTACCACACTAACAACAATTCCATACTAAAAATGTTCATGCTAACATATCGGTAACATAAGTGAGTATGCACGTATACTCACATTATTCTAGGGTAGACGTCATGGTAAGATTGAGGGATTACTCTATCTCGGAGCTCATGTACCCCTTTAGTCTACGGTGGATGTAAATATGGAATTACTACATCGGATTCAACACCCAACTAACCCACCCCTTGCAAGTGTTGAGGTCTTGTGCCATGGTTAGTCATAAGTGCCTTGTGCAATACCTACCAATAACCAGACAATCTATACTTCGTAACTAACATCATCTACTAAAGTAAATCAGGCATCCTTGTTTTTTCCCGAGCGTCAAACAAGCTAGTATTATGTTATCATAATTAATGTTGTTCATAGTTGTACTTTGTTCATAGTTAACGGTTCTCTCTTGTAGTCTTATCCGACTGTATAAATATAGGCTTTCTTGGGTCCCTCACATCAAAATCCCTTAAAATTTGGGCTATTTGCCCAATTCCTAACCTATTTTATTGATACTGACCCTCTAGTATAGATACTCATGTTTTAGTGTCGATACCCTATGTGAGTATCAATGCCAAAAATGCTCACTAAAATATCGGTCTCCATACCAAGACTGGGGCTCTCGAGACCGTGAGTCTAGTATCGATACCCCATGAAGGAGTATTGATACCCCTGCTTTGAAAATCCCTTTTCTTTCAATAACTACTAGGCGATATCGATATTATTCTTCTAGTACTGATACTCAGGCTCATATGTCTTACTTAGGCACGAAAATGGCTCATTAACTACCCTAATAACCCTATTGAGGTTCCCAAACATGTTTAAAGTCTTATGTGAGTTGTAAGGATCACAAAGAAAGCTTAAAATAATACTAAAACATCAAAATGTGTAATCTACATGAACATTCATGCAAACTTTACCACTATATTTAAAAGTTAGAGATGCATTTCCATTTACCACTAATGATATGTAAGAGATGTAAATGTGTGACCTTAGCTTCTTAACAGATGGAAACTGCTTCAAATCACCCAAGGTGCAATTTTTCCTTCCTTTTCACCTTAGAGCCTTCTCCCACCTCTTGCACTAATCAAAGAACAGGTAGATGATTTCCCAACTTATTTAAAAGCTTATGAAGGAGAAAACATTTCCTATAACTGAAATGTCTCCAAAATCGGACTGAAATTCCCCAAAACCTTAAACCTCACTAAACCCTCATTTCACTACAAAGGCTCAAATATTGTGTTTGAGGGCTTAATTTGAAGCTCTTCAAGTGGTGGTTTAGATTCTTACCTTAGAATTCTTGGACTATGCTGAAGATATAAAAGTTCCACCTTTGCTCAAGTCTTGGAGATGAAAGAAAATGGACAAAATGAAAGAAGAAGACAATGAAATGTGGTGAAAACGAGGAAAGAAAATCTGACGTGAAATCATCAAACTATTATGGGAATTCAACTTTTATTTCAAACTTGGGTCTAATTGCTCTTTTGGTCATCCCACTTCTTTGTTAAGATTAAAAACACCTTTTTTTATCTCATATTGAGCTTAAGCCAAGCCCAAAACCACTCAAATTTGGGCCAAGGTATCCTCTAAGTTAGATTATTTATTATAAGGCCCTAATGTCTAAAGCCCAAAACTCTTAACCTGAGATTTGGGGCATTACAA